TCAAGCAAAGGGGGTAGTCCAGCAAGCAGCTTTCTGACATTATTTAGGGGGGGGGCCCTAGAATAATGTCTGATTTGCTTTACTCACCCTCTATTCCTTATTTACTTTTCCTAAGCTCTTTAGTTGTGAAGCTTTCCAAAAGTTTCCAAAAGTCAGTGCGCACTTTCTTTATAAAAACCCTTATTCAAAAGTATTGAAAAAACAAAAAAATCAATCAAGCAAAGGGGGTAGTCCAGCAAGCGGCTTTCTGACATTATTTAGGGGGGGCCCTAGAATAATGTCTAGAGATTTGAGGCTTTAAATTGTTTTCCTTTTCTTTGCCTTTTGATTTGCATTCAAGCAAAGGGGGTAGTCCAGCAAGCAGCTTTCTGACATTATTTAGGGGGGGCCCCTAGAATAATGTCTAGAGATTTGAGGCTTTAAATCTGTGTTTCCTTTTCTTTGCCTTTTGATTTGCTTTACTCACCCTCTATTTCTCATTTACTTTTCCTCAGCTCTTTAGTTGTGAAGCGTTCCAAAAGTTTCCAAAAGTCAGTGCGCACTTTCTTAATAGAATCCCTTATTCAAAAGTATTGAAAAACAAAAAAAAAGTTAGGTGTCTTAATTCCTTCTATTTTAATATTGCCAGAGTAGCTCCAGAGGTAGCTAGCTAAGGATTCCTTATTTAATTATCAATTGATTGATTTTCTTATATATTATTGGAGGCCTTGGTTGTTGACGGGGGGGGGGGGAGTTTATAAATCAAGGGTCAACATTAGTAGCTTCTTGTTCCTAGTAGTATGGCCAGGAGCCCCTAGTAGCGACCTTGCTCCTAGTAGCCATGCCAGGAGCCCCTAGTAGCGTCTTGTTCCCAGTAATAAGGCCAGGAGCCCCTAGTAGCGTCCTTGCTCCGAGTAGCAAACTATACTACACCTTTCTTCATTGTCTTTTTTCCTTTTTTCTAATAGCAATGGCCTCCAACCTACTTGTGATGGCCTCCAACCTAATAGCAATAGCGCAAGCGCTCAGATATTATGGAGAGTCAAAGCTCGATCACATCGGAACTGAAGATCAGAGTCTCGATGTGTCACCCCAATCACAATCGATGTGCGTCGGGGCAAGGCCCGAAACAGGAGAGAGAGTGAAAAGCACCACAAGAACAACATGGACATTTCGGTGTGTTTGTGTGTACAACCCATCGCTACTAGCAGCAAGGTCGCTACTAGGGGCGTGTGTACAACCCACCTTCGTCCGAACGTCGAACGTCGAACGGGACAGCTGAACGTCGATTGGCTGAGGAACGCGACAGCTTTCCATCTTGCTTTTCACAGGCATGACCACCTTGGCCAACGCCACTGGGCAGAAGTTGGAACTTCTTAGTAACAAGTGCATCGCTACTTTTAATACTAGGAGCAAGAAGCTACTAGTTACTAGGAACAAGGGCATCGCTACTAGTAACCCTTGTTACTAGCAGCGATGCCCTTTGACACTGCCGTTTGTCCCGACACATGAATCGGGATGGTTGATTTGTAGGGCATCAAACCATGCAAAGCGTCAACATCTCTGCAGTCCAAGAAGCAACTCAATGTCACCCTGTCCACATCAGCCATTGGCTGGCCATTGAGTAGTGCTTGTCTCGTGCTTGTCTCGTATGAACACAGGACGACAGGACCTGTAAAACGCGCACGAAAGACACCAGCGGTCTCCGAGGAGCTTTTGGTGAAGCCGCCGGGGGCCAGAGCTGTGGAGACACCAGCTGTGCGGATCAGTTTGTGGAATCAACCGCTCCCTTACCCATCAAAAAATAAGCTGTGTTGCAGTCTAGCAGTGCGATTTTGATAAGGGCGACAACGACCTGAGATTCCTGGCAAAGGGGATAGCGTTCCTGGCAACCAGTTCCTGGTCTTGGCTGTGTGGCAAAAAGCGCCTGTGATTCCAGAAGTGCAGAACGACACAAAAATACGGAAACCCAAAAGGACCGCTTCAAAATGATTAAGTTAAAAAACGGAAAGCCGGATCCCACACATACTAACCAGTATGTTGGAAGAAAAACATACTGTATGTTTTTCTTCGAACACATCTTAAAGTTGGATATCTATTGGAGTTCCCTCCGAGGTTTTGCGCCTTGCCACGCCCTGGAGCCCTTGGCCCTGCTGGGGCTTCCGAGAGACCGGAGGTCCTTGTTCTTCGGACAGGGGCGCAGGGCGACACTGGCCTTTGGGCCATCCTTTCGAGGTGAAGTTGGGCGCAGGGACAGAATGGTCTAAAGGACGCTACTAGGGGCTCCTGGCCTTACTACTAGGAGCAAGAAGCTACTAGTAGCTCCTGGCAAAGGAAAAAAAGAGAGGTCTCAAATGGCCTAAATTGGTCTAAGGAAGACGAAGAATATAAAAATAGAAAAGGATAATGTTCTCATCCTCGCTATTCGGTTGGAGGCCATGGCGGCAAGACGTGTCCCGCCTTAAGGCTCCTGGAGTTTTGACCAACTCCTTGGGCGAACATGCCGGCAGCTGCAACACCTCCTGAAACGCTGGCTCGTTTTTGTCCAAGACATCAGCGCTCACTGCTTCAAAGAAGCACTTCCTTCAGGTTCTTGAGTGATGACTATTGGATTTGAAAAACTCTCGTTGTTTTTTCCCACCTGTCAGGTGAGGGTTGTTAGATTTATGTCAGCTGCCGTCCCCGTCCTCGTCCTCCTCGTCCTCCTGCTCCTCCGCCTCCTCCGCCGCGAGCTCCCGCTGGCAGTGTTCCCCGCCGGACCTCAACCGCGAGTCAGAAGATATGCCAGATAGAATGTCAGAAAGAATGTGATATGCCAGAAAGCATGTCAGAAGGTATGCCAGAAAGAATGCCGAAATAATGTTTCAATACATGACATAAATTTTGTCAAATTGAAATGTCATGGTGGGGCTCACTCGAAGTAAAGTAATTTCAACAGAATCGGTGACCAATGCAGGGTCGAGCATTGAAAGTTGCAACTTCTGTCTTTGTATGTAAAAATACAACAATGCACCAGTAGAAGTTGTATTGGCTTGAACTTCAGAGGATGCCATGTTCATCATCTTCTGGTATCCGTTCAGGTGGGATGCCCTCCTCACATTCCACCATGGCCATAGGCCAAGCTTGCGCCCTCCCGTTGTGTCAGAAGTTGTGTTGGAAGTGTTCCTCACAATTTCGCCCTTGGAGCACCCTCCTACAGTCCTTTTGATTGGCACACGTTGAACGCTTGCCAGCATCCATTCTGTTGCGTGAGATGCCCATGGTGACAATTCTCTTGTCAGGCTTTCTTATGCTGACCATGTTTGATGGCATCATTCGAGTGAAGCCCGACACCTTTTTGCTCTCACAGGCCGGCAGAGTTCAACTGAAAGCAGATGTTCCTAATAGCGTCCTTGCTCCTAGTAGCGATGCCAGGAGCCCCTAGTTGCTTCTTGTTCCTAGTAGTAAGGCCAGGAGCCCCTAGTAGCGTCCTAAACCATGCGTCCTTTTCTCGCTTGGCTGTAGGGTTCAGCTTGTGAGTGCCTTGTGCCTTGTACGTGAGAAGTGGAGACCATCCTGCTTTGCGCGCGGACCGCCTCTTCGCGGGACATCACAAGTCTAAGTCTTCCTTCGTTTGTGTTTTTTCTCGAAGCAAGCAAGAGTGCTTCGTTTGTGTTCTTTCTCTTTCAGCGTCCTTTGTTCTTTTTTTGGTCTTTGTCTTTGTCTTGGTTTTTGTCCGGTCACCCACCGCTTGGACAGGAAGAGGTCGAAATGCAACAAACGCTCAGGGAGATGATCTCGGCCAAAGCCTCGGTAAAATGAAATCCGTTGGGATCGGTGAAGCAAAAGAGAGAAGGCTCGAAAGAGGGTCTAAACGGCCAGGAGCCCCTGTTCGTAGCGTTGATCCAAACAGTGCAAAAAGCATCACGAAGACCAAAAGAAACCAAGCTTTCTTGACGAGATCCAAACAGCAGTGACAAAAAGCTCAGGTCACGCCACTAGCACCCAAGCGAGTGTTGCACCTAGATCAGACAGAAGTGCTAGATGAGATGCGAGCCATGAGATCTCCGATCTTTATCGAGAACGTTCTCTGTTTTCTTCTGTAGACCTTTGGACCATTTTAGAATCTTTTAGACCCTTGGTTGGTATGTCTTTTCTTCTCATCAGGGCACTGTGCGTGGCAGTGCAGTTCAGACTTCAGATACTATTCTATGCGAAAAAGGGTTCGTTGCACTTCCTTGTAGGTCTGTCCTGTCCTTATTGTCGCCCAGAATCCGAAGGTGATGGGCAACACGGAGTTCTTGGGCTTCTTCTTCACCTGGATGATTCTGCTGGGCCCGGTTCGAGCCCAAAACGTACCCGGACCATACCATCCGTACCCAGATCTTCTCACAAAGATCCAACCATCGCTAGTAGGTTGGAGGCGCTATTAGGTTGAAGACTTCTTAGAGGCAAAGGATGCCTATAAGGAGTAAAAGTGAGTACTCCAAAGTGAAAGAAGATCTCGCCGGGAGTGTCTCCACTGAGCGAACTCGTGGAAAGAGTTCCACGCTAATCACTGGATAGCCACCGTCACCGTGACGGGAGTCACCGTCGCCTCGCTTCTTTTGACACTTGCTCATCATACCACGACACCTCTCTTAATCAGCATTCTACGAATCATCAACGGACATGTGAACTTCCCCATTACAAAGCTGGCATCCCTCAAACCTGAGTGCCCTGTGTCAAACCGTTTCAGATGCTTTTTGCTTTTGCCCTAGTGCTTGGGGCCTCATTTGCTCCCAAAGCTTAAACACTTGCTCTTAGGTTGGAGGCCATCACTACTAGGTTGGAGGCCATCGCTCTTAGGTTGGAGGCCATTGCTATTAGGTAGGATTGATTTCTTTTCTTTCTCATCCGTTGTGGACGTTCGATTGCCTCAGGTCCCAATGATGCGAGTAGTTCTTCGAGATCACACGGTCCAGTGCCCGAGTGACACCCCCGCAGACTCTCAACGGGTTGGTAGTTTGGAGTAAATGCCTCAAAGGTTACTACTAGTAAGGCACTTGCTACTACTAGCGATGCACTTGTTACTACTAGCTTCTTGTTACTACTAGTAAGGCACCTGTTACTACTAGTAAGGCACTTGTTACTACCAGTAAATGCCTCAAGTGCCCAAGATGTTGCTTGTGTGATTGTGTTGGGAGGAAGGTGTTTTTTGTGAGAGTGCACATGCGGTGTTTGCAAGAACCTTGGTGTCAGTTGCCAGTTGAAAAATTGAATCCACATGAGAGTCTGTTTGTCAACCGACAAATTTTCCAACAGGCAGTTCAAGTCTGTGTGGGAGGCTTGCACCATGCTCAGACAGCGTGAACTATTTTGGAAGTAAAAACAAACACTACTGCTGAGCGTTGTTCCTCTTTCAACAGGAAAGGAAGACAGAGAGAAAGGAAGAAAGGAAGGAAGAACATGAAGGAAAGGAAGAAAATGAGGAAACAGAAGAACAAAGGTCAAACAGAGAACAAAAAGAGAAGGGAAAAGAAAAGGAGCAACGAAAGAAGACGAAGAAAGGATGCACTGTGAACTTTGAGGCTCGGAGCCGCTCGGGAGCTCGGAGAAAGCTCCGAGAAAGCTCTTTTTTGGAACAGCTGTTCGGGGCCTCTTTCGTGTCCCGTCATGTGCTCCGTTCGTAGCGTCCTTGCTCCGTTCGTAGCGATGCCAGGAGCCCCGTTCGTCGCTTCCATTCTACCCGTATATGTCAATAAGAAGCGAAATGTGTAGCAAGTGTATCGCCAGTAGTAACAAGTGCATCGCTAGTAGTATCAAGGGCGCTGCAAGTATACTAGCGATACCTTAAATTCTGCATTTGTATTTGCTTATCCTTTCCTGTTGTTTTCGTTTCATCATCTTGAAGAAAAGGAGCGCGGACATGTTTGTCGGTGCTGTGCTGTACCCAACGGGACAATCTGCAAATGGTGGTGATGATTGCAAGGTGAGGTTTGGGGAAAGTATTGGGTCTGAAGGTTTTGCAGGATTCATCCAGTTGCTGTTGTCCTTGTCCTTGCTGCCATCTTCCAAATTGCAAAATACGTGATTAGACAATATGGTGTTTTTGAAAGAAAATAGGTGGAGCATGTCACTGACACTTTGGCAAGGTGTTTTGGGCATGCAGAGATGTCTTAAACGAGTTAGACTTGTTATTCAACAGCCGTGCCAAGCTAACGGAGCTACAAGGGGCTCCTGGCATCGCTACTAGGAGCATTCTTACTAGGAGCAAGGACGCTACGAACGGGGCTCCTTTTGTGACACCGAACGGTCCTGTGATGTGTTCGGAGTGCTCGTGTTTGAATGCACACGGTGTGCTGGCCACGAGCACGTCAGGTCTATGCACTGCTGTGGTTTCGCTTCACGAACCTTGGCAGAAGAACTGAGTTTTCAGACTGTTTATGACACAGCGGCGTGGTTGATGTTCCATGTGAGGATTTGCATGATCAACCGCTACAAGAATAAGTCTCCATCTCAGACCATGTTGAGGGCTAGTGTGACCGGCTGTGAGTCAGCAGAATCCATCTCACTCCATTACAAAAATCATCTTTCATCCATCTTAGGAATTTGTAGTTGATGGGATCCCTTATTGTTCTCTTCTTTGTTCAGCTCATCCCTAAGGACGTCGTAGACCCGAACTTCTCTTCTTTGTGTCCTCCGTGTCCTTCTCGTTGCTTCTCGTGCCAGGGTGGGTCAAAAGTTCTGTTTTGGCCGGGTTCTTCAGACACGAGACGTCGAAAGAACAGTCCACGGAGGAGTCTCCAAACCATGCATATCCACATGGGAGTAGTCAATCACGACCTTTTTCAAAAGAAACGAAGAAAACAAAAACGGAAGAAAAAGAACAAGAAAGGCTGAAGTGGTGATTTGCCCGAACTTGGAAGGGTATCGTGGCTTGCCCTCCCCAGGCATGCTACAGCACAACTACGCTCCAGTGGCCATGCGCGTTTTCGTGCGCTGCCCCAGATTGGCCGATCCGTCTAGCCGCTAGCCTGAAGAAGCTGGTGATGACTGCCAGAAACATGGCGACTCAACAGACCTGTCCCGAAGATTAGCAATCCCAAGCGGTCGGTCCCCCCAACATGATTCAATTGAGCATCTCTACTTCCGACTTACGACCAATCCTTGTGGCTAAAAGCAGAGGTTCCAAACAGCACCAGGCAGAATCAGCTGCATTCGCGGAAGAATGGGAAGAACGAGGTAGTAACAGGTGCCACGCTAGTAGTAACAGGTGCCTTACTAGCATTAACAAAGAAGCTAGTAGTAACAAGTGCATCGCTAGTAGTAACAAGTGCCTTACTAGTAGTAACAAAGAAGCTATTAGAATTTACTTTAAATTAATCATGTGGAATGGACCAACCAGTTGAAATGTGAGGCGGGGTGAGGGGCCACAGTATGCCACAGTGAGGCGATAGATGCTTGGAATAGTAAGGCAAGCCCCTAGTAGCGTCTTTGCTTCTGCGCGATGCCAGGAGCCCCTAGTAGCTTCTTGTTACTAGTTGATACGACCCCCACTTATTTGGAGCCTTCTTAACGGAGCACTGGACGTTTTCCACTTGTTTTTGTCCACTGAAGCAACTGAAGGCGAGACCTAGCGGCGACAAGGACTGGCAGCAGTTGCAGGCGCTTTCGGACAGGAAAAAGGCCGAGATCGTCCCGAGAGGTTTATACTTTGTTCAGATGTTTTTCTAAAATTAATCAGACCCTTAAGATGTTCTTCCTTTCCTTTCTTTGTTTCTGCTAGCGGTGGCCTCCAACCTACTTGCGATGGCCTCCAACCTAACAACAAACCATATTAGACTCCTTTCAAGCCCGCTTCTACTTAGTGAAGTAATTACTAGCAAGAGGAAGCTTCTGGTAACTGGACGCAGGATAGCACTAATGATTTGGTTCCTAGATGTTTAGGGGATGTGTGTTTAGGTTCTACCGGCGTCCACCCGCATTTGTTTCTGTTCTGGGTGTGGTGCCGGGTACAGTGATGCCTGCGGCCATTTTTTGGTACTGCCAAGAGTGGTTGTTTTCCTTAGATCACCATTCATGATCGTTCATGTGAAAACCCAGAGAGAAACATTCACACTCCCAATCTCCCCACCATTAGCTATTAGTAACAAGTGCCACGCTATTAGTAACAAGTGCCTTACTAGTAGTAACAAGAAGCTATTAGAAACAAGTGCCTTACTAGTAGTAACAATAAGACTTTAATTAGAATTGCAATTTACTTTAATTTTCGAGTCGCCCGATCTGCCCAGTGGGACGCCAAGATCGAAGCTGAAGAAGTCACGACCTCAGAAAACCCGTTCAACGGAAAGAGTGTCAGCACTGCGTCAAGCAGGTTCTTTCATAAAGAAAAGGAAAATGAAGCTATTAGAAACAATGTTCGCTACTAGGAACAAGTGCATCGCTTCTAGTAACAAGTGCCTTACTAGTAGTAACAATGTTCGCTACTAGGAACAAGTGCATCGCCTCTAGTAACAAGTGCCTTACTAGTAGTAAGAAGGACGCTAGTAGAAACAATGTTCGCTACTAGGAACAAGTGCAACGCTAGTAGTAACAGGTGCCTTGCTAGTAGTAACAATGTTCGCTACTAGGAACAAGTGCATCGCTTCTAGTAACAAGTGCCTTACTAGTAGTAAGAAGGACGCTAGTAGAAACAATGTTCGCTACTAGGAACAAGTGCATCGCTTCTAGTAACAAGTGCCTTACTAGTAGTAACAATGTTCGATACTAGGAACAAGTGCATCGCTTCTAGTAACAAGTGCCTTACTAGTAGTAACAAGGACGCTAGTAGAAACAATGTTCGCTACTAGGAACAAGTGCAACGCTTCTAGTAACAAGTGCCTTACTAGTAGTAACAAGAAGCTATTAGAAAGGTCTAAAGGTCTAAGGTCCTTAGAGCCTGCAAAACGATCCTGAGAGAACGACTGCAAACTGGAAGATGGAGATGGAGAACGACAACAAAACACCACGCCGATATACAAACTGGAAATGATCCCAGTCGTTTATATGAGACATCTAAATATAGTGTTTTAATAATTGTGCTGCTTAGCACTATGTTCGGAGTTCACCACCTGTTTTTGCATGAGGTACCCAAAGAGTGAACCTGTTTGTTTGTTCAACGTTTGTTCACTTGTGCCATGATTGAACTGGGACAACCGGTGTCCTTCTCCAGTTCTGAGGCTCCGGCCAGTTCGGAGGACTCCACCAAGCCAAGAAGAAGTCGTGACAAGCGGAGTTTTGGGGGGGTTGGAATTCATTGCGTTGGATGATTTGGTCTTACAGGAACCATTGTTACTACTAACAAGTGCCACGCTAGTAGTAACAGGTGCCTTACTAGTAGTAACGCGTTTTCGATTGGATACAGCAGATACACACCAGATGCGATGAGGTGGGATGCTTAGGGAACTTGAGATGGGTGAGCTTGATGAGTGATACCAATCCATCACAATGCGGATGCGAGCAGGTTTGCTATCGGAGAAACCATAGATTCAATTCGAGATGTTGGTTGTTTTGCATTTCTTACGGTGGTACACTGCGAGTACATTTGCTTCAGAAGTTTCTTGGCGTTTCTTGCAGATGCGAATCCGGATTTATAGATACTCCTCGTCAGGAAGCGGAAGCAAGTGATGATTGAGCTGCCCTGACGTCAGACGTTGGCAGTTAGGCGATAGTGATGGTGGAGGATCCCAAGATTCTCAGGGACGAAGTTGAAATCTACTTTGATTTGCAGATGCTTGTGGTCCACTTGTGGTCTTTTCCTGGAGCCAGAAAACTGTTCTCCATCCAAGTGCATCGCTACTAGGAGCAAAAGACGCTACTAGAAACAAGTGCATCGCTAGTAGTAACAAGTGCCTTACTAGTAGTAACAAGAAGCTATTAGGAATAAGTGCATCGCTACTAGGAGCAAAACTGTTCTCCATCCAAGTCGGATCCCATGTATTTTCACTAAAAGAACGAGTGGACGTTCACGTCCGAGCTCGGGCGTACAAACGCCCTGGTGAAACCTTTGTGGCTCCAGGTACCTTGCGTACCATAGGTCAGGAACAAGTAGCGTCTTTTGCTCCTAGTAGCGATGCACTTGTTACTACTAGCGATGCACTTGTTACTACTAGCGGATACAGTCCATATACGTCCCAACGTCAGAACGTCAGGATCAGACCCCCCCCCTCACTCAGAACCTCGGGGCGCGTTTCAGAGCTAATGATTGCCACGTAGAAAAGCTGAGAAAAGCCGACTGGACCGACTGGACCGACGGACTGCTTTCATTGGGAGAAGAGTGGCGAGTGGCATTGAACATAATAAGCTACTAGGAACAAGTGCATCGCTACTAGTAACAAAGGGCATCGCTACTAGGAACAATAAGCTACTAGGGGCTCCTGGCCTTGCTAGTAGGAACAATAAGTTACTTCGATTCATGGATCTAAGGAACTGCAGGTGTTCCTAGTAGCGTTCTTGCTCCTAGTAGTATGGCCAGGAGCCCCTAGCGTCCTTGCTCCTAGTAGCGATGCCCTTTGTTACTAGTAGCTTATTGTTCCTACTAGCGTCCTTGTTACTACTAGTAAGGCACTTGTTACTAGAAGCGATGCACATGTTCCTAGTAAATGCGAACTGTTCTCCCCATTCATGTCCAATTCGGAGTGTTTGTCCGGATAGGGTATTTCATACTGTGAGGTGCACGGAAGGACCGCGTTCATGTTGACAACTGCGCCCAGGCAGCAAAGTAAAACGAGTTATTTGAGCAACTAAACTTGAGTAGCGATGGCCTTCACCCAGTCCTTAGCGACGGCCTCCACCAAACTTGAAAGGATAGTCACACGAGAGGCATTGCCTTCTGCTCCTAGTAGCGTCCTCTACCCCCCCCCGCGCGCGAGCTCCTAGTAGCGTCCTTGTTCCTAGTAGCGATGCCCTGGGTTACTAGTAGCGTCCTTGCTCCAAGGGCCAGGTTCTCTGAAAGGAGTGGTCCATGGCTGTTGGAAGTTCCGAGCTTGCAGTGCTTTGCTCGTGAAAAGCCAAGCACAGAGCCAAGCAACTGGGATGTAGTATGCGTATTCTCAAGTAACTCTTTGATCGATCCCTTTTTTTGAAGGAAGGAAGGAAGGAAGGAAGGAAGGCCTAAGGGCCTAAAGTAACGAAAGAAGGACAATGGTAGGTCTAATTGTATACATTCCTGTAAAGTCCTGTAGTATGATAGAAGCGCTTGTGGGTCAGAAGTCCGCTGCTTGCCAAGGCGTTGTTTTCACTTCAAAGAAGCGAATCGGACGGCGCCAACCAAGTGCCAAAGGCGCTCGGTCAAAGGTGCTCCACGGCCAAAGTGCTGTGGAGGAGGCGAGTTTGCATCCTGTTTTGGTTGCCATGCGACATGCCGCCCTTGTCCTGGTCGCAATAGCCTTTTTGAGTGTGCACAGTCAGCGCTTGTACCACACGGATGGTGCTTGGGCTGCTTTGATCGATGGAGCTGTGACCACCTGGGGTGACCCAGAGCGTGGTGGTGTTTCGCTTGGCGACACCGGTGTCCTCGACGACGTGGTCGACCTCGTCGCGACGTCTAGTGCCTTCGTCGCCTTGAAGAGCGATGGATCACTCGTGTCCTGGGGCCGTGCCGACGAAGGAGGCACCGTGCCGAACAGAGGAGACGGTCCGACACCAGCCGACACCGAAGAGAGTGTGGTGAAGGTGGTGGCCTCCGCCCACGCGCTGTGTGCCTTGCAGGCGGATGGATGCGTGATCTTCTGGGGGCGTTTTGGAGAAGTCTCTGCGGATGCAGTTTGGAAGAACTCTTCACAAAGTTGTGGAGTTCGTGACATTTTTGCTTCCACCGAAGCCTTTGCTGTGTTGAAATACGATGGTGCTGTGATCACCTGGGACGAAGAAGGTGAGCACCTACAGCACGTGGCTGTCTCACCTGACAGCGAAGGTCTTGGGGAAGCCCCTTCCGTGTCGAATCCGGTCATTGACATGGTTGGAGGCTTTCATTCCTTTGCGGCCCTGAAAAGTGATGGAACCGTGATAACGTTCGGGCACCAAGAGTACGGTGGAGATTCGAGCTCTGTACAAAAAGATCTGAGGGATGTGTTGAGGATTGAGGATCGGGGGATCTTTCATCGTGGCTTTGTTGCATGGAAGGCCAATTCCACGGCTGTGATTTGGGGACACGAAAAGTCAGGGGTCCCGCTGTCTTCCCAAGTCATCACTGGCGTGCGACAAGTGGAACTGATGCTCAGGCTTCACATGTATATAATATAGGCCTTTTTCTTTTTGAAGCCCGCCCGCCCTTGCTTAGTTTAAGTAGGCGCTTACTTAATTGCCTAATTCAGTGGATGTTCTTAGCTAGGACGCAGGATAGCTCACGCTTCTTCAAGGAAGCTACCCCGCCTGAGGGCCGGGGAGGAGCTTCCTTGAAGAAGCGCTCGCATTCCAGGAAATTTAACAAATGATAGCTCAGGCTTGAATTGTTGACTTTCTGGATTTGCTAGTTGTTTCTGATATATCTCCCATGTCTTCCATCAGGTCTCGTCTTGTTTGTATGTCATCTTCTGATTCTCCGTTTGATCTTTCTCCAAGGAGGCACTGGGCCGGTGCAGTCTTAAAGACTGACGGCACGGCCTTCGCCTTTGGCAACGCACTCTGGGCCTTCGGCGACGTGGGCGAGGCCCAAGGACGCTTGCAAAATCTACGGCAGATCCTTTGCCCCAGATACGCCTGTGCAGCACTGCGAGAGGACGGCTCAGTGGCCGCTCCACTTGGAAAATCGAACCAAGGGGTCGTTGGTCGTTGTTCGATGTGTCAAAAGCTTCATCCATGTTGGTATATCCGCAAATATCGTTATATGTGTTTTTTCGATGGTGTCTTGGTTCACCTAGTAGATTCCTCTGCTAGTAATTACAAGTGCCTCGCTAGTAGTAACAAGTGCCTTACTAGTAGTAACAAGGACGCTAGTAGGAACAATAAGCTACTAGTAACACAGGGCATCGCTACTAGGAACAAGAAGCTACTAGGGGCTCCTGGCCTTACTAGTAGGAATAAGAAGCTGTTAATTAGAAAGTTTTTTGGCCGTTCGTCCACCCAGGTGACTTGGGGCCAAAAGGCCTTTGGTGGGTCTGGTGGACCTGGTGTGCAGAACGTCTCGGAGCTCTTTGGCACCCCGTATTCCTTTGTGGCGCTTCTTCGCGATCCAAGGCACGGATCTTCCTCGGAAGGCCTTCATGCGATCGCTTGGGGTCACAGTCACTATGGTGGAGATCTCAACTTTCCAGAGCGACTGCCGCGAGCGCTGCACAATGTCAAGACCATCCACAGCCATTGTGATGGCCTCAACAATGGTGTTTTCATTGCAGAACGCAATGACCATGATGGACTGCAATTCCAAGCTTGGGGAGATCCCAGGTATGGTGCTTCATTGCCATCGTTCAACACCGCCACCAGTCGACTCCTCTTTGGGCCGCCGAATTTCACCAGTACCACCCGAAGTCGCAGCAGCACCACCCGAAGTCGCAGCAGTACCACCCGAACTAGTCGGTCATCCACAACCACCACGAGTAGCGCAACCACCACCACTGCCACCACCACCACTGCCACCACCACCACTTCCACCACCGCTACTGCAACCACCAATACTGCAACTACAACAACATTAACCACGGGCACTGGGACGTCAACAACCACTAGTATCTTGACGCCTACGATGGTGTTCTGTGGAGGGGACCGGTGAGTGAAGATACAATAAAGATCCTCTGTGGGGTTCTATGGGTCATGCAGTGACTCATGCCAAGACTAGGTGAACATGCTCCCATAAGAACCCCCAGTCTCGGATGGCAAGAGCAATTGGCATTGCAAGGATTGCTTAGTGAATCTGATTGATTTCCGCCCAAAAAAAAGGAAGTGCCATTGATTTGAAGTGCCACAACCGTTCGGCTTCACACGAAGATCAAGAGCCCTTCGTTTGCTTCGGAACGATGGTACTGCCATGTGACGCCCAAGGTACTGCCACGGCATCCACCGTGCGAGACTGAGATGTGTCCGAAAGAAGCACTGAAACTCGGTATGGAGGGAGACCGTCGCGCTTCTAATAGCAAAGAAAAGGAAGAAAGGTCTAATATGGGAGAAAGTGTCCCTAAAAATCTAGGAACCAATTCTTCAATTGCTTGAAGAACCGTGAGCTATCCTGCATCCTAAGTACTAGCATACTAGTAGCTATGCGGGTTCAAAAGCAAGAAGCTACTAGTAACAAGAGCATTACAACTAGTAGCAAGAATTCCACCAGTAGCTCCTGGCATTACGACTAGTAACAAGAAGCTACTAGAAGCGATGCCCTTGGTTACTAGTAGCTTCTTGCTCCTAGTAGTAATGGCAGGAGCTACTAGTAGCGTCCTTGCTACTAGTAGCGATGCCCTTTGTTCTTAGTAGCGGTCTACCCTGCCTGGGCGCGTCTTCGCCCGAGATCACGTCGCAGGTGACGCTGACCAGCAGCACTGCCACGACCCTGACGCAGACGAGTAGCACTTCGAGCACCGTGACCGTGACCACCAGCACTGCTGGATGTCCCAGTTCAGAAGGAAAAAACATCACAGAAGCAGATGGATCAGCAAGTGATGCAACTTTAATGAGTAACAGGAGTGAAACAAGACAATCTCAGAAGATCTACACTTGCGATAAAGAAAAGGATAGATTGCGTCAAAAATGGCCACCATCACCTGCGCTCTTGGCCGTTCTTGCCGCGTTCACCGTGTCTTAGGAATCTACCGTCACTGTCACGACGACCAGTGCCGGCAAGCTCAGAAAATTGATCTCTGGGAAGGGTTCATCAAAGGATTTCAGTCACCAATGGATGGAGGTGAGAAATGAAAGGGTGGTTTACAATGTCAGAGGAAAGAGCGTGGCGTGTTTTTTTCCATGTTACTTGTGTCTTTCTTCCTTGTATTTTTTTCTGTTTGTTTTGTTATACTTCTTTGACCACAACGTTTTGCAGCCTTCGGGCTTTTTCAGCTCCAGATGTCAAAAAGCTTCCTCTCAAGAAGCTTTCTCTCTTCCATGTCCTTTTGCGGCCTAGTAGCTGCAGCATTTAGCCACAGGAAGACCCGAACAAAACACGAGGCCACTTAGAAGATCTAAGTTCCTCAGGTGACGACCACGAGTTCAACCAGTAGCTCAGCCTGGGCCACAGGCTGCAGGACACTGCGTGGGTTGTTTTTTAATTGTTCGAGGTGGCGTCCTTTGCTTCTTGAAATGTTCGAGGTGATGTCCCCAAAATCATACCTTTGATGTCTCTAGTCTCTAGTTATATTGATTCGGGTCGATATGTTAAATGAAGAGCCTCTTTCTGATGGTGAGGAGCTTAGAATATTCTCCGGATGCTTATTGTGAGCGATGTAACATGGTACACCTTAACCGACCCTAAGTTTCTACAACCCAGAATGCTGTTGACCATCAACTGAGCCGCCCAAATGCGGCGAATTCGAGTCAGAGCCCTGGAGCCAGAAGGATCGTAGAAGAGCCATCCCCAGTGAGGTGGATTTCAGGATCGGCATGATGTGGCGTGTATATAAAGCCATGATTGGCACGATGTACGAACGCCGGCATTGATTACAAGGTGACAACCACGAGCACAACAGTGGGAGGCCTCAGAGACACCTCAAAGACACCTTACTGTCTTCCCTTTCTTCTTGAGGGCAAAACTCTGTGTATCTCGATCGAAAGAAAGGAAGAAAGAAGGCACAAAGCAAAATAAAGGAAAACAACAAGAAACAAACAAGTTGTTTCAAACAAGAGGAAGATTCAAAAGAATTTCATTAAGCCTTTGCAGCTCACAGTTCGAAGCGCCAAGGCAACAACGAGCAGTTCCACCAGCAGCTCTGTAGGGCTCAAAGAGGGCTCACTTTGAGGGCTCAAAGAGAGAAAGAGATTTGAGTCAATGTTATTTTTTTTAAAGCAAAAACAAAGGAAGAAAGGTCTGAAAGCGAAGGCCTCCAACCTACTAGCAAACCATAGTAGACTCTTTTGGAGTATGAATACATTGGATCAAAGAGAGAGAGAGAGAGACAGAAATCGATTCGGGAGATGTCAAAACGACCAAGTGACCAGAAGACAGAACCTTTTTCCTGCCAGACGCATCGCAAAAGTCACGAGCGCCATTTTTAGGTGACAACGACCAGCTCTACTAGCAGCTCAGTGCGGAAGCTCAGTGCGGATCATGTCACAGTCGCACAGTCAGCTGCTTGAAGCAAGGAGGAGTCACAGAGTTCCTGCATAAGGTCACAACCACCAGTACTTCTGCGGGGAAGCTCAGGACACAGATGGATAATATGGATGTGCATCCGCCGTGTAGCATATGATGATATGTGTTGCATGGCATATTGTCAGGTAATTATTGCCTACGATATTTGTCATCCAGCGATCGTGGCACAACGGGATGCCCTTCACAGCTTCGGTTTTGCTTCGGCTCATTGACATTGTGCTGAAACTAACGTGAGCATAGCTGAGGGTTGTCAGAGTCTACACTCAGAAAACTTTCTGGAAGGTCACAACTTCCAGCTCAACCAGCAGCTCAGTGTGAGAACTCAGCCATGTGTGTTTCTTCGGGTGATGGCTATCTCCCGTCGAGGACATAGAATGTCAGCTTGCTGCAAGTGCCGGTGGAACTTTGGCAAACCACCAAAACGGAGCAAAAGCTTCCGACTTTGTTTGTAACTGCAAGGTCACGACAAGCAGTACTAGTGCAGGGAAACTCAGAACAGACGGGAGCAAATAGGCCTGAGTGCCAGAGCAGTTAGGGTCCGACTTGATTTGGCTGTGGAAAAGTCTTGCCTTTGATGACGTCCTTAGATGCCACAAATGGGCACTGAAACTCGTTTCTAATAGCTTTTTTGTTACTACAAGTAAGGCACCTGTTACTACTAGCGTGGCACTTGTTTCTAATAGCTTCTTGTTACTACTATTGATGCATTGAAACTCTATTGATGCGTTTTCGCCAACCGAGTTGGAGTTCGAAGCATCCGAATGCTGAGGTGACGACCTCAAGCTCTACTAGCAGCTCAGTGTGGAAGCTTAGCGTAACGAGGCTTCGCCCTCGTACGGATCAGTCCAGAAGAAAAAAGAGCTCTCAGTTGGAGGCCGTTGCTACTGGAAACAAAGAAAAGGAATAAATGTCTAATATAGTTTGCTATTAACAAAAAGCTCTCGGTTCTGCACGCTACTGCTGCAGCTTGGAGGTCTCCAGGCAGATCGAAGTTGCATGTACATTAATGCCCTGTACACTCGGCAGACCATTGCAACCAAACCAATACTGGTGAACAATGACCCAGGGTGCGCCTGGGGCACCAAAAATGCTAGGCTTTTTACCCACACCCATTTGCGCATTACTAGTAACAAGAAGCTACTAGTAGCGCCTGGAACTACTACTAGGAACAAGAAGCTACTTAGTGTTTCATTGATCCATATTGAGCCTTAGCGTGCTGCCATCAAGCAGTCTTCAATCTAAACGGGCCCTCATTGCTAGCGATGCCCTTTGCTCCTAGTAGCTTTTAGCTACTAGTAGCTTCTTGTTACTAGTAGTAAGGCCAGGAGCCCCTAGTAGCGTCCTTTGCTCCCCTCCTCCCTACTTAACACTTTGATCAATCAAGTTCTCCACCACAGCCAGCCCTTGCCTTCCTTCAATTTCACAAGCTGTATGTGCACCAACATGTTGGGAGAGGGGATTGTGTCAACTCTTTCTAGTAACAAGAAGCTACTAGTAGCTCCTGGCATTACTACTAGGAACAAGAAGCTACTAGGAACAAGAGCATCGCTACTAGGAACAAGAAGATAGGGGATTGTGTCCAAGAATTGAATTTGCATACAGTGCACTCTAAGCACACCCCAACCCGCGGAAATCAAGTATATCCTCGACCTTTCTCCTACTTAATTAAGTAAGGGAGTAAGCTACTAGCTACTTAAGCTACTACATATGGACGCAGGATAGCTGGCGCTTCTGCAAGGAAGTTCCTCTCACCTGAGGGCTTCGGGGAGCTTCCGTGAAGGCGACTTGATTTTTAGGGAAACTTAACATCAAGTATATGCTCGCCCTTGGTGCTGCAATGGAAAAACGCCGCTCAGGTCACAACCAGCAGTAGCACCGCTGGAATCTCAGCACAACACCACTATCAAATGGGCCAGCGCAATGTTGTACAGCAGCAATGCATAGCACTGATTTTGTACATTCCAATGGCAAGGAATTTCTTTAACGGTTCTTGCAAATGGCTTCAGGTGACTACAAGCACTACGACAAGCACATCAGCACGGGACTTGAGCCCTGCTTGAATTCTTGT